ATATATATATATATATATATATATATATATAATATTCTCAGCACAAAAATATACTGCAAATCTGTTCTCAACGAGATATTGTTTACATTCAACTAAAGGCTGTAATTCACCACATGACTTTTGTCCAGATTTGTAGTCTGGATGAGTTGACACTTTTAGCCAAAAGTAAGAGCCTGTCTGCAGATTTTGACTGATTTAACAGAAAATGCTTCTGCGTTTATTTGTTGTGTTCGGAACGACTTTAGTTTCTGTCTGCAGATTTTGACTGATTTAACAGAAAATGCTTCTGCGTTTATTTGTTGTGTTCGGAACGACTTGAAAGTTTAGTAGTGTGTGATCCTCAATCATGTACTGTATGTGTATGATGGCAAGTGCATGATGCCTAGCGTTTTAAAAGATTTTTAAAAGCTGTGTAGTGTTTTCCAGCCTTAAGTGTGTCAAACTAAACCTCTACACATATTTCAAAGATTCAGTGACATGAACTTGACAAACTTTGGCAGATCAAACATTCATTATTGCTCCCTGGAACCTCATAAACTCCATTTGTTTCCCAGTGCACTGATAAAAACGTGCACCCTGACTCCTGGAAACTGTTTAAAAGTAATCAATCACAATTTCTTCCTACCATCTTCGTGTGCAATACGCACCAGATTGTCTATGAATGGCGTGTCGCCGTCAAAGGCGGAGAGCATTCAGAATCAGCACAATGCAAGGCCAAAAAATGTAAGTGGAAAATACTTGCTGACCCTTGTCTGTTAAGTTATTTATTTTCCATATCTGAAGGACCCTACACGAGCTGTAGGCCCCTTCACATGCATCAACTTGAGTGAGTACAGGATGTCATACAGAAGATGAAGGGGATGGAAAAACAGCAGCGGTACAAGCTAATATCTCTTCTCCTCAGAGGTGAGGTAGCAACTAAACCACCTAGATGCATCAAAGAGCTGGACAGGAAAAAACAGAGCATGCAAAGCAATCAGTTGTAAAGCATGGACACTAAGAGGAATAATATAACCTTTGACCTGTAGCAAAGCGTGCACCGTATCCTCTTGTTTTTTAATTAATGCTGGATCAAAGCAATATAAACATATAGAGGCACATGATCTCTCTGGCTCTCATTCTTTGTGTTCTGCTCTCTTCCTCATATGCAAAGCAGAGAATTGATGGCTTATCGCAGAGCCATTAAGTTTCTTATCAGGCCACACCAAACGAGAGTTCGCCTGAAATGGAAGTCACCTTGTTGGCGTGTCAGCTTTGGGAACTGAAACCATGCACATTACGCACAATCATCAGAACAACTGAATAGTAATTATTAAAAGCTTAAAGACCCCAAGAAATCTCTTGACAAGAGTAGTTTCCTTTCCGGTTTTGAAATAGGAAGTTGGAACAATAAACAGCCAGGACGCTTTAATTACATCACCGCCATGATTTGCTACTTACTAGTCAGAAACAGCTTATATCAGAGGGATATTTTCTTCCTAGAATGAAATACTTTGCTTAAAGGTCAACTTAGTATGTATGTATATATAATACATTATTTAATTATTTAATTAATTGATTTGTGTGTGTGTGTGTGTGTGTGTATATAAATTAATAAAATAATTTTTAATTATATATACAGTATATATACATACACACATACACAAATTATTTAAAATATATATAACCATTTATATGTACGTTTACATGCAACAGCGTTATATGCCGGCACACTGCCCACTAGGCTATCGGCGCTGACTGAAATTTACATCTTCATATTTTGTTTATTGCTAAATAAACACATAATAAATAAATAACTAAATAAATACACACATACAAACATAAATAAATAAATTATTTTGCAGACAAATGTATAAAATAGGCACTGGAAATTCAGCTGTTAAACATGATTGTTATACATGTGTATATATATATATATATATATATAATGTATATGTGTGTGTGTGTGTGTGTGTGTGTATATATATATATGCGCACTGATGGCTTTAACGAAAGCATACAGTATACCATCAATTAACAACCTCACAGCTCACAGTAGGTCTGCCTTTAATGGTTTATAAGTTATTGTTTAAAATCAATTCCCCTATGGAGAAAATGAATGGGATTTTTACTTCTGTAACCTGACTTTTGCACTCTATAAATTGAAAACAATTAGTGTATATTGCACAATATTTATTAAGCAGCGAGTTAGTATTCCATTCCAAACAACCATTCAAAAATACTTCAAGTATCTGCACTTTTTACACTGACGCAACGCCAGGACAGATGCTATCGAGAAACATTCATTTTGAAATGTCAAACTGACGTAACGCAGGTCCCATGACTGTGCGAATCACAAGCGAGCTCCTCGGTGCCAATAACAGCAACAGAAGTTTGAAGAAACATGTGGAAGTGAGGTTTTCCTGTTCCTCACTGCACTTTGTCTCTCGATCACAGGACTAGTGTGACAGCACACCTCATGACCTGCCAGGAACCAGGTCATTATCTGTGATTTATTCATGCTAGGTGCTCTCCAGAGGGCCTGACAGCTGCTGTCAGCAGGTCTGAGATCAGTGCGGTTCTGCTCCGGTGCTCAGCAGCTAATCTGATACTCATATGACTGCCACGCACATCCTGATACTGCTGCGTCACATCACTGCCAATGACAGTTAATGTGTAAATCCACCCGTAAGCCACAATGAATGACTGCTGAAATCAGTTTATCATAAAACTGAGTCACGAAGAGCTGAAACAAATAGTTCAGCTAAAAGTTACATTTCTGTCACCATCTACTCATCCTCATGTCATTGCAAACCTGTATGACTTTCTTTCTTTTCTGTAGCTCATACAGAAATTTAGGCTGAATGTTCACTCTGCTCTTTTTATACAAAGTACTAAGAGTTTCAGGCTCCTAAAAGGACAAAAAAGCACCATAGAAGTAGTTCATACAATATATATTTTTATTTTCATTTCGGCTAGTCAGTATACATGCGTGACGTATTTGAACACATTACATACACTTCCATAACCTTTTCCCCCGTTCGTTGTGCAACTGATCAAACTTTTGCAAGCAAAACCACTAACTATCATTTTTTTTGTGGGGTTTTCTTTAGAATTTTCGTCACTTGCATCTAAAAGTTAGCTTTTTTTTAATTCTGAATGGTTGCACTTCATTTTTATAGATGCTTTCTATGGTGTTCTAGGTGGTTGTTAAGGCATTGCTTTGTGGTTAACAGGTTAAGGTGTTCTAGGTGTTTGCTAGAGCATTTTTAATGGTTGTTAGGGGATTGTTACTTGGTTTTTTGAGTGTTGTAGGTGATTGATAGGGCATTGCTTTGTGGTTGCTAAGGTGGTAGTTGCTAGAATATTCTGAATGGATGCAAGGTAAAAAGCTAATTGGTTTCTTGGGTGTTTTAGGTGGTTGCTAGGATGTTGCTATGCAGTTGTTAAGGTGTTCAAAGTGGTTGCTAGTAGGGCTGCCCCCGACTAAAGATTTTTCTAGTAACTAGTAGTCATTCATTTTAGCCATTATTCGACAAATCGCATGTTAAATATATACTGGGGGTAGGAACCTAAACCATAATGTAAACCATAAACCCTGTAATATATAGCCTACTGTATTAAAGCTTGCTGCAAAGCGCTATGAATGTGTCCAAAAAAATAGCATGGAGATATTTTAATTGTTGAAGTAGATGATACTGACTCACATCTCCGCAGTGGACAAGACTTCAGAAAGAAATGCATAGAGATTGCATAATCGGAGAGTATTTGTTTTGAATTGGGTCATTTTGAAGTAGACATTTCAAGCTTTCTATAGATACATTTCTCATGTCTGTGAGGGAAGTAGCCTATACGCTGAGTTTCGGTTCATTTTTTATGACGCATTCCTGTTCACAGAGATGTCAGAAAGCGCACCCTGTTTGTTTTCTTTATTTTACAAAAGCACAATGTTTCGTTGTTATTGAGTGTACATAAATAAAAGTAGACCCTTTACGGTTTCGAATGATGCATTACTCTCATCTGCATGATAAAAAATGACGGCATATTTTAAACTGCTTCCATATTTGAATCTGCTATCAGGAAAAACATGCTAGTGATCGTTCTGGCGCCTCCATGTCTTGGATGTTTAAATTTTAAAAGGTAAGCTATATTTGAGGATGATAATTCATAGGAAAACATTTCGATTTCCTGATATACTATAATTACCAGCTGTTAATGCAGACAGGTTTTTTCTGTGACTAACCAACTAATACATTTTTGGTTTACTAACACCATGTCTACATCGGCTATAGAACTCATTATAATCAGTGACCCTGTCTACAATGGATGCGGCACGACGTGACACGACAAATCCCCGACAGTAAACTGATGCCTCATTCTATTTATGACATACTGGCACAGTTCAAATGATTTGCAACGGTCACTTAGTCACATCAGCGTAGACCGACTTTAGCTGTTGCGGCACAACACGACAACTGTCGTATCCAGCTCATCAACAAACATTTAGTCGACTATTAGGAGGGAGGGCAGTTGCTAGAGTATTTTAAATGGTTGCAAAGTAAAGGCTTCATGCACGTGCCCCCTCAGACTTTTGAGCCAAGTGGATTTTGAATGCAATTCAAATCTGCGTTCGCTGGCTACAGCGCTGCACATTAAAACCAATCACTCACGATTCTGTTGAGCTTGTGAATGCAATAGCCAATCAGAGGCGTTCAGATGAGTCATCGCTGAAACACCGGTGATTTGTTCAATGCGTGCGTTTGCTGAATGAATTCTGCTCTCTTGCGAATTCTCTCATCAGAAACAACAAAGTGCAGATGTGCGTAAGATATTCATTTCACAGTGTACAACTTCAACTTCAGTGATTATAATGGGAGTTTTTGAGAGTGCTTGAACTCTGGCTAGACTGAAGTCAGTGAATATGTTCTTTGATAATGTAAATGTTCTTTGCTCTCTTTCTGTACAATGAGCGTGTTATAAATAGCAACTTACAATGTTTTTATTGAATTCACGTTAAATACAAAGTCAGTTGTAATAAAATTATTTTATGGAGCGACACCCATATGTGGTACTTAAAGGTCCCATATTGTCAAAACTGAAATTTCCTGGCTTTTTTCACGATTACTGAGGTCTAGGGGCTATTTAACTACCATATAAGTTTCAAAACAGTCAGTCCAGAGTAAAATGCACACAGCCTGCTTAAAGTTCTAGCTATTTTTCACGAACCGTTGTGACTTCCGTAAAAAGTTGACGTCAGAACTACACAGTCACTGCCTTCAGTCACCACCCCAAGCACCGCCCACCGTCCCACTCTCCTTTTGCCAAACCCCCAGACAACATCGCGTCCATGCTTTTGCTGTGCAAGGACAACACGGAAACATGTCGAAAAGGTTAACTTTAACCACGAAACCAGATCGGCTGACCTGTAACGTTACACGTTATACTCAAAGGATGGACGATCTGACAGGATTGTTACTATGAGGTGGATCACATCTAACCTGTATAGTAAAGACAAACTCACCGTGTCTATCTAGTCATGATGAAGATGTATATACATTTGAATTTCAGCAGGCAACTATTTTTAGAGCTACACTATTGTTCCAGCCACAATTAATCACAACAATGTATATACAATTACAAATGATTATATATAAATCGTCAGTTTG